GTTCTTTTGATCTGGCTTCAATTCCTTTAGCTTGGTAATTGTGAGGATCTTTTGTATGAATATATGAATTTTTCTTTACTTTTTTTCCACATAGGCTATCCTGAAGTTCAATGGCAAAAAGTTTAATAATAGAACTATTGCTGTTGACTGGGCTGTACCAAAGAAACTCTATACAACTGGTGTAACTTCTATGGTTGATTCAGATGATGGTAATTTCTCTTCCTCTCTCTATTAAAATGCCTGGGCTTAAAAAGTTTTTAGCCACTTATCTAAGATGTTGCATTATATGGTGAATTTGCTCTTATGTATTACTTTATTTCTTCTTATTTCTATACTCTCTCCTGATTTGGGAGAGAGGCATATAAGAAGCTTGAGTGGTGAGAAAGGTGTCTTTAGTATAAGCTAAATAAGTCATGGTAATATCAGTAGCCTTGGGATATTCTGTTAGCTGCAGACTATTTTTAATTGTTAGTGTGTTGTGTTGTCCTTGCCTATCTTTTTCTCTATTCCCCCTCCCCCCCTTGGGGCTAGGAGGTGGGGACTCAGTGGAGAAGGCAATAGTTCTCCGACAAATGAATACAGTAATGCTGTACTTATCCAGATGACATTATAGAGTAGTTTGGAATCAAAAATTAAGGAACTTAACCTCCTTTCCCTGGCTGCTTATGTGATGGTGGTAATTTAGTCCATTTAAGGCCTATTTGATGAGAGAGGGATGGAGAGCTATAATTTGTATTTCTCAACAAATTTTCTAATAAGAGCTGTTAAATTGGGGTTGGGGGTGGGTAGGGGTGGACCCAAGAGTTTTTTTATGCTCATTTGGTCATTTTTTGCTCAATTGAGTAAAACATACTCTTGTTGACTTGTGGTACAGGTGTACCCAGGTGGTCATGTACACGATACTTATAAATTTCTGTTGAGCTGTTATATAGGATCAAAATTTTATCTTACATGACTTATAACATTTGATAGGAGAATCCGCTGATGAAGATGCTGACAGTGACACTGATTATGCATTGGAGAATGATGATTTGGCTCTTGCAACAAAGGCTGAAGGCTCAGATGGAGCTCACTCTGACTCAGATGAAGAAAAGGAAGCCACAATTACTTTTGAAGAGGAAGCAGAATTAGCACGAAAGGTCCTTCAAAATGTTATTACATCCTCCGTGACGGAATCTTCTTTAAACAATGGTTCGAATGACGGAGTTCCTGCTAAGGCAGTCAACGTGGGCAAGAGTGTTGAACCTGAACACACAATCCAGACTAAGGATGAAAAAGCGAGAGTCAAACCCACTAAATCTAAATCTGTCAATGAGGAAGATGATCTTTCAAGAACAGTTTTCATAAACAATCTTCCTTTTGATCTTGATCCTGAAGAATTAAAACAACGATTCGCAACTTTTGGAAATATCCAATCATTCTTTCCTGTTGTTCATCCCGTTACCAAGTATGGACATATATCTTCTTGCATCTTTTTCTCCCCATGAAGTAATATATATATGATGCATATAATCATTCTTATATGTGCAGGCGACCAAGAGGAACTGGATTCCTTAAATTTAAAACGGTTGATGCAGCTGATGCAGCAGTATCTGTAGCAAGTGCTGCACCTGGTCTGGGAATCTTTCTAAAAGGAAGGCAGTTGAAGGTATTGAAGGCACTGGACAAGAAATCAGCTGATGACAAAGCGTTGGAGGATTCCAAAAAAGAGATTGAAGACCACCGCAACCTTTACCTGGCAAAGGTTTCTGTCTTTCCTTCCATTTCTTCTTGGCTAGTGTTTTTGAAGGCATATTTGAGAGTTCCATCTTTGCTATTTTGTTTTTGGCTAAAAATATTGTACAGATTGTTTAAGCTTATTAAACAGAAGTGTTTTGTGGTTTGTACAGGAGGGTCTGATAGTTGAGGGAACTCCTGCTGCAGAAGGGATTTCAGCGGAAGATTTGGAAAAACGCCAAACGTAAGTCCTTGCAATATTTATGAGTAAGAATCATATAGGTCTAGAAGTTCAATTTATTTTAAATAATGGGATTCACATCCTAGTTACCATTTAGGCAGTTATGATTAATGTGCTATATAGGGCCTCCTGTCCTATTATGTAATGGGATAAGAAAACACAATACCTTGACTACCAGCAAAGAAGTCTTGAGCTTTCAGTCACTGAAGCTACTTTTATATCTGCCTTTTATTGCAACCCTGCAAAATTTTTCTGTAGCATAGTTGACCTATGAATTGACAATATGCTTGGAAGTTCGATTCGATTGCACAAAGGAATTCTTTAAATTTTAACTTTTGCTTGATTATATAGATGGTGATCATTTATTTATAGGATAAACGAGGCAGATATGTTGGCTGCTGTTTTGCCAGCATCTGCTGCATGTCATTATCATCCTTCAATTGTATATTCATGGTGGTTGGATCCTGTGCAGGTTGCATCTGAAAAAAATGACTAAACTTAAATCACCAAATTTCCATGTTTCCAAAACAAGATTAGTAATATACAATTTACCGAAGTCAATGACCCCAAAACAATTGAAAAAACTCTGCATTGACGCTGTGGTTTCAAAAGCTTCAAAGCAAACGCCTGTGATACGGCAGGTTTGTGTGTTTCTCATTGTTATTGGTATATCTTTATTTGTGCTGTTGCTTTAGACTCAAGTTGTTTGCACTCTGAATATGCTGTGCAGATAAAGTTTCTTAGTGATGTTAAGAATGGGAAGGTGAAAAACCATTCTCGTGGAGTTGCTTTTGTGGAGTTTGCAGAGCATCAACATGCTATTGTGACATTAAGAGTGCTTAACAACAATCCTGGTAATTACTTGAGCAGTATATAATTTGTCAGAGATTTTTCTTTTCCTGAGATTGCAGTAGCTATTTCTTTCTTAAGAAGTTGAGGAAATGCCTCATTCACATAATTTGAGTGATGTGGTTTAAGAAACACCTCATTCACATAATTTGAGTGATGTGGTTTAAGAAACACCTCATTCATAATTCGAAGAAATGCCTTAAGAAATGCCTCATTCATAATTTGAATAAATGCCTTAAGAAATGCGTCATTCATATGTGGTATTTTTCATAAACAGAGGTATTTGGCCCTTCGCATCGTCCTATTGTGGAGTTTGCTGTTGATAATGTTCAGACATTACGGAAGAGAGGCTTAAAAATTAATGACCAACTGCAGAAAGCTGGTGATGATCGAAATAATGACACCTTAACTTCATCCACTAAACCAAATAAAGAGAATTCCAGAAAAAGGAAATCACCAGATGATATAAAATTAAAAGATCGGGTTACTGGCAGAAAACACGTGCAAGGAAATAGAGCAGCTGATGAGGCTGCTACTGAAGAGAATCTAAGAAAGAAGCATCAGCCAGTCCGAGCAAGTGGAGATAGAAACAACCACGAAAAGAAGCAAAATCAGAATAATTCATATCAACACATAAATGGAACTGTGGATGCTCTTCAATCAAAACCCTCCATTCAAAATGACAAGCAGTCCAGAAAGAGGAAGGTATTTAATCCTACAGGAGAGGGTCCTGAGGGGAAAATTACGAAGAAGAGAAATAGGAACAATAAAAAAGACCGTTTAGGTCAAGATGGCGTGGATAAGCTGGATGTGCTGATTGAACAATATAGATCCAAGTTTTCACAGAAGAGTTCTGATAAACCAGATGGTGAAAAACAAGGTTCCGGGCAGCAGATTAAAAGATGGTTTCAGACATAGGTCTCGTTTTTTACTACTGCTTCTCTTCCAGAAGTAGCTACGTTTTGAATGTTGTACATCACCAAAATTTTGTACCAAAGATCTTTAGGGAGAAATGATGCGAAACACTAATACAAATTAGAAAGATTTTTGCTATTTCTGCTCTGTAGGCTTTCATCATCTACAGGAAGTTTTGTTACTACTACTATGGTTTTTGGTTACTACTCTGTTGTATACTACCACATTGCTTAAGATATTACTGGTACAATGTGGCTACTAAGGATTGTGTTTAAAAGAGGCCAATGTTGGAACGTATGGGCAGATCAAATTACAGGTCACAATTATTGACAAATCAATTTTACAAGTGTAGCATAAATATATAATAGGATGGCGAAAAAGAACATGCTCATATCTAGTTATTGGTTTGTAATGTTTTTAAAATGGTAAATAGTCTCACCCAAAAAAAAAAAAATGGTAAATAGTGAATCTTAACAATTCAATTAAAAATAGAGAAAGTAAAAAATAGGGTTAAAATGAACAAATGACATGGCCACATGGGGTAGTTTTATAAGGGGCTAGGTTCGTCTATCAATGTAAAAGCGTGGGCATTATTTGGTAATTTGCGGGTGTCGTTCATGATCATTTTCTAATTTTAGAGGGAATATATCATTTATAAGGCAAATTCACAATCATTTTTTTTTCTTTTAAAATTAAAAATAAAATGGGAAGAAAAGTAGATGAAATGACAAATTTACCTCCAATTTACTAGATAAATGACCATAATATCCACATTTACAAACTTTAGTAGCTCAAACTTTTAACAAGACTATTATCTCATTCTTGTTTGAATTTTGAACTTTTTTAATTTAGGAACTACTAACAATCAAATCACATATTTGTCAAATGAGAAACAATAAAACAAGTCACTATCCCACTAAATAAACTTTAAAATTTTATTTGTCCATTCTGTACTATACCTGTGACATGTCCCATATATAAAGCGATACGAGTATATGAGTATAATTTTGGTGGATAATAAGTGAGTATAAATTTCAAAAGTCATACCCGCCACAAGTACTCTATATATATGGTAACTGGTAAGTAAATTTGTATATCATACTTGCCCCATATCCAACCATTCCACCCTCGCTCTCACCTTTTTTAACATTATTTTTTCCGATATTTCTATATCCGTAAATCCCTAAACGAGCCAGTCATGTAGCCCTAATTTAGAATAAAATTCCAAATGGTTTTCGTTCTAGAGTTATGATATTAAACAACTTGTGGACCATTTAGTGTCCATGTCGACAAACGAAAAAATGAGAAAACCTCCCGGGGTTTTTATCTCATCTCCAAACCAACATGCAGACCGTTTTATCCACTCCATTTTTCTCTCTCCTCTGCTCATTTCTTCCTAAACCCTCTTTTGTTTTCCTAATCAAATTCCTAAGTTTTCAATCAATTGGTAAATTCTTCATTTGTCGCCATTTTAGGGTTTTCAATTTTCATGCATTTGCTGAAGAATGTGAGATATTCTTTCTTCTCTCCCCAAATTCTGCTCTTTTTCAGCTTGAATATCTCAAATTGAGTTCAAAAAAGTATTTTAATTGTTGGGGAATCTTTGGCTGACAATGTTGGGATGTGGTTATGAGCTCTTCCGTAGTGTTAACTGACAATTTCATGGTTTTTAACCCTAGTTTATGCAGTTCAATTCACAGGAAAAGTAGCAATTTTTTGCCCAGTTTTAGGGTTAGGGGAGATTTTGGAGGGAGGAATCAGCGGGTTTTAGGGTTAGTGGTTCCGAATGCGAAGAAGAAAAAGGGGCTTAATTCGAGGAAGAAGAGCTGGTGGCAGAGGTTTTTCTTTGAGGAAGATGGGAATTGGCTTGGTTTAAGGGAGGAGGATTTGGAGGAGTTTGAGGAGGAGAGTAAAATTGAAGTTGAGGGTTCTGATAAGGGAGAGAGGGATTCAGAGAAGGAGAAATTCGAGGCGTGGAAGAATCGAGCCGAGGCACTTATTGAGTTGAGAGAGGCTCAAGAGGGAATTAGGAATGAGGAGAATAGGAATTGGGAGGATTGGCTTGTTTTTGATGAGGGAAATGGTGCTGTTAGAAGAGAATGGGATTATCTTGATGATGATGATGTGAATGAATTGAAAGAAGATGATGTTGATGGTGACCCTGATGAGACAATGCCTAAGAGGGGGTTAGTGAAGACTCTTGAGAATTTTGTTCTTGGGAAAGAAGATGATGATTTATTGTATGAAGACCATGTTTTTCAATTCGCTTCGAGGAATTCGGTAGTCTTTCTTTTGTTGCCTGCTTTTGTGTATTTCTGGTTTCTGTTTATTTGTTATACTTGTGTGATTGTGTATGTTGCTAGGATAATCTAACTTCTGCTGTATGAAAGTGTGTAACAGTTGCTAGATAAGTGCATGACTTTTGTCTTATGAACTATGTGTTCCTGTATTGCAGGCTAAATTTTTGGCTGTTTTGATAATTGTACCATGGGCAATGGATTTTCTTGTGCACGACTACGTTCTTATGCCTTTCTTAGACAGGTAAATGTTTGTCTAATATGCTTTTAGCTTGGCCTATTATGATTACACCTCAAATCATTGCTTTTTTGTGTGTTGTTCATCGTTTAAAAAATTCAGCATGGCTGCATTACCTTGTCAAACTTGAAATGGTTAGAGAGTGTGCCTTATTGATGGATGAAGTTGTAAACTTAGGATGTTTTGAGCTATTTGGAGAGAAGTATACTTATTTATGAATATATTATTTGTAGCTCATTAATGTTTCAGGCTAGCATCTGCCTTTCCTTTTTTGGTTTTTCCTCACATATTTGTTGGAATGCCTTAGTTTGAAATAAATTCTCTAATACATACACACTAAACAGTACAACTAGAGGATATGTATTGTCCAATGATAATTTAAAAGCACATTAGTGGTTAAAGCTCCTTAGCTTCAGAGGCAAGAAATACCTCAACTCCATGCTTCAGATTGTCGCTGGACTTTACAGTTACTGCAAATTATCCATAATATCTAATTTAGCCAAAACTGTTGCCACACAAATGCCTTAACCTTCATAGGAACCTTATCCTTGCCTACTTAACTGTGATCACAAGAATATAAGAGGTGCAATTTATAAAAGAATGACTCGTTCTAAATTATTCCTGATCATCATTAATATGGCAATATTCTTTGTTTCGCTATGGTATGTTTTACCATGCACAGATATGTCAAGACCGTACCACTTGCTGCAGAGTTGCTTGATGTGCGTAGATCTCAAAAGCTTGAAATGGTCAAGGAATTAAATTCCGAGAAAGCAAGGCTTCGATTTGAAGTTGAGATTGGTAAAGCACCTCCACTTTCTGAGGAGGAGACATGGTGGGAATTGCGGCATAAAGCGTAAGATCTATTGAATTGCATTTTTTAAAGTCTATTTCAGGGAACTTTTTTGCGTGGCATTTTCTGGCCATAAGTTTGGAATTCAAACATGACCCTCTTAAGTGCTTTTAGTTTCAAGCTTTCCGTGGCCTGAGGCCGCCTGACCAATTTGTAATGTCACTTGCCAGTCTAATCAGGATTAGCCTTATAAGCCTTATAAATACATGTATTCCCTTTACTCACTTGAGAGATATAAAACATTAAAGATAACCTCAAGTGCTGTTCTTTTCAAGATGGAAGAACCTTTTTGCCCCTACTATGAGAGTTCATGGCGTCATGGATGATAACTATAACTTGAAATTTTAGGTTTTATCTGTTACGTTTGCAAAATTGTTACTAGAGTATCCTTGTCATCTGAGTGTAGATTTCACATCGCGCAAAGGACATATAGGACTAAATAAAGAACTTTTTTTTTTTTTTTTTTTTGCTATGGTTGCTCCATATGATTTCATACATTGCTTACAATTCTCTGGTTAGGAAGTTAACCTAGTTTGCTGATATGAGAAAAGGCTCTCTCTATAAGACTGTATTTTCTTGGCTGGACAGCTTAATTGCTTTAATTTAGCAATTGTAATAGCAATCCTTTCTGCTAGCCCTTAAATACACAAAACTGATTTTTATCTTGTGTTAAAATTTGTTCAAATTGGTTATCCTGACAGGCTAGAGTTGCGAGATGAATGGAGGTTGAATAATCGGAATGCGTTTGCCAACATATGGTCCGATATGGTCTTTGGAGTATCGGTGTTTCTCTTGTTATACTTCAACCAGAGCAAAGTAAGATGTCTTTGCTCTTCTTCTACATTTAAATCTGTATATGAATCCAGCTCAGTCAGGATCAGTGAGTGTCTCATACAAAAATACTTGGAAGCCTGACATAAAAATTTGGGAGGTCCTGTGTAGTTGTGCATCACCTTAAAAAGTGCCTGCTCTACTTTATAATCTATTTCTGAGTGATGTTATTATTTTGCAATGACAGTATTTGACTAAAATGTACTTCTGTAAGCGTCGATGAGTACATGATTTGGTATCTGATGAAATCTTGTCCCGAAATCTTTGTTTTTATCTCTTTCCAACCCCATCTTTGGGATTAAAGCTTCAATTGTTGATGAAGAAATCTTTTTGTTTTGCTGGACTGCTACACTTTTTCAAAGAGAGACTCCTCACCTTAGACGATTATCTTGAGTTCAGTTATGAATTGTAGTTATAAGAGGAATACTGATCACTTTGTTCATCTCTACTATTTTCTCTTTGCCCCATCCAACTAGCTTGTTTGCGGAACACTGAAACTTCCTTATAGTGCTCTGATTAGATGTGGCTTAAGATGCATTTAGAGCAAGTTCAATTGAGTATTGGTTCTTTGGCTTCAGACACAAAAGAAAAGTAAATTATTCAGGTATATTTTATAGGAGAAGTTGATTGAAAGTTGAATTCTAGGTAACAGACATCTGTTAATTTGTTGCCGGCATCACTAACAGACAGCCTTGTATTGTGGTGGGAAGGTGGGGAAAGAAGAAGATTTCTTATCAAAATAAAGTGTGGAACTCTGATATCCTTTTCACATGTAAACATTGGGATACAAAAATTTAATTCCTGAAGCTTATCACTTCTATGTTGAATATTGAATATTGCAGGTGGCTTTACTGAAATTCACAGGATACAAAATCATCAACAACATTTCAGACGCTGGAAAAGCATTTCTCATTATTCTAATCACTGATATATTTCTTGGGTAATCTTAATAAGCAGACTCAATTTCTAATAATAAAATGCATGTAATTAAGGAATTCTTGTAAAGATAATTAATAATTAATGTTATCTGCATGCGTTATGCAGGTATCATTCTGAATCTGGTTGGCAAACCGTGTGTGAAGTCTTTGTTGAGCATTATGGACTGGAGGTTGATCAGTCTACAATTACAATATTTATATGCCTGGTACCAGTGATCATGGACGCTTGTGTGAAGCTTTGGGTATGCATACAATTCCTTATCATAGATCACACTGTCGTAATATTTTTTGTAGTAATGCTTTTTGAACAGCTAGAAGAAAAAAAAAAATTCCTTTCTTGTTAGGTTCATGATCCATCAATTTACAGAAAAGTTGTTACTGGTCTTTTAAAGTTCTGACAATTAATTTATATTCATGGCTCAATCACCTGGATGCCTCATTTGCCATGAGAAATCTGAAATTTACCAGGCACTTGGGTCAAACATATCGTCCATATTTCCAGATTAATCCTGAAAACTTTTTGCTTCTAATTTCTTGTCACTGTAATAATGGCATACACCTTTTTTCTTGGTCTTGTGCTTTTGAGTGAATCTAGTCACTGTAAATGGTCATATAATGTGGAGAATTTTTATTTTAACCCAGTATATCAAGGATAGATCCTTGTATTGTTTTTTCTTTAGGGAAAGCTAGTTGCTTATATGACTATTACATTGCCTAGAGGAAGCATGGTGGTTTTTTTTTTTCCTCGTTCCTTAGATGGTGAATCTAATCAGTCAATTGTTAATTTGCAGCTGTTCAAGTTCCTGCCAAGATTATCCCCAAAAGTGTTTAATATCTTCCATGAAATGAAACGTCACTGAAGAGATTTTTCTTCAAAACATACAGAATAATGTGCTATGAGCATTATCCCCTTCATATTCTTTTTCTCTTCTACGGAGGCATTTGCTAGAGGAGATCACATTCCGGAGATGAATTTTGAGTGTTGAGTTATGTATAGTATGATTCTTCAGGTGTTCAAGTCATAAATTTTACTACACTCCATATTGTTGTAAAGTTCACAATTTGCTTTTCATTTTGTCAAGAAAACATCAATCTCAAAATTTTGGAGGAGCACGAGTAATATGTTAATAAATGAAATTAGTCGGGAAATTATTTTGCACTGTTTGGTTCAAAATCTTTTCACCTTGTGCCCCATGCAGATAATCTCAAACCTGCAACCTTTGCATTATTGCTATGGAGTAAATATTTGCACAATGCTCTAACCAACTACGCTTCCTTTGGAGGTTGTAGCTAATATACCATATACTCCTACTATCTACAGCAAGTAGAAACAGAACTAGTATGGCAACTACATAATGTTAACAATACAAAAGGAAATTACCAATGTACCCAATCTAAGACAATACTGTAATTAGAGAGAGAGAGTTAGAAACCCTTTTGAATTTGATTATGCAGTTTTGTAGGTATCAAACCAGAACCAACCAATTTCAATCCATACAGTTATACAATCATCAAGGGTTTTTCTTCCACGTTGCGTTTTAAAATTTACAAAAGCTCTGCCATGCCTCAGGCTAAGGCATTTCCTTCCTATGTGACCATGTACTGTTCTTTCTTTTGTTCTCAATTCAGATCAATATATACATGATGTGAAACAGCCGAAGTGAACTCAGCTGCTTGCAGCCATTGTGCATATGATGACCATGGCACATAGTAAGCCACATTGGCTAAAGAAAACAACTAGTTCAAGCTTGTGGTGAGATGTGAAGATCAATGCATCAGTGGCAGACTGGCAATCCATACACAATCACCTGCTCCTGTTTGTTGAGGCAGGAAGGGGTTGAACAGCAGCCAAAGGGTTCACTTGGTATGAAAATGCCAACTTCCAAAAGTCTACCAAAGTCTGTTTCAGCGATAACACTCTACTAAGAACACCCCTGAGAGTAAAAAGAACATAATTCAGAAACAAAATCACAATAATTGCATTTGCAATTACTGGTTTAATTGGTGTTTTATGGAGTATGAATGTATGATAACTTAATGTCCTGGTGTCAGTAACCAGCTTAATATTCAGACCTCATTCTTTTTTCTTTTTTGAAGGTAACATACCTTGTTGAATTTAACCCCAAAAAAAATAAAAATAAAAATAAAAATGATAAACGCTTCTCATGGGGGCCAGAACAAACAGTATCAGAATAAAGTTCATTTACCTCTTTATGGATTCTCGTTTCTTCTGAATGAAATAGCTAATCACAAAAATCAAACAAGCCAAGAAGATCTTCCTTCTAGATGCAATAACTGAATTGCAAGACCTTTGAGTTATGTTCTGCAATGATATCCAAAAATGATGTTTTGAATCAACACCTCCATTGTGACCTTGGGTGCTCAGGACTGTCATGGTCTTATCTGATTGCTTAACTTCTTTCAACGATAAAGCATGAGATTCAGGCTCCTCAACTGTTGATACCGATACATCACCAAGTGTAGAGCTAGATGATTTGAGATGATACAGAGAGTGGAGTCTCCTCAAGAGATCCTATGAAAGAAAGTGAATTCAGAAAGATGATTTGAGATACAGAGAGTGGAGTCTCCTCAAGAGATCCTATGAAAGAAAGTGAATTCAGAGAGAAGGAAATATTAAGTGTTTAATGGTCAGTGCTTCAGTTTAAGATGTACACAGAACAATGCTATGTTATGAAGGCCTAAAAGATATAATGCAAAAGATATACAAATCACACAGGATAAGAGGCCAAATTGGCTTCTTTTTCAAGTAAAACATGGGGAAAAAACTTTTAAAAAGTACAGGAAGTGATAATTTGTCAAAGGAGACTCCATTAACATATGACCGGCTATAGCTAATTAGCTACCCTTTATAATACTGATGCAACCTATCCCTCATAATTTATTTATTTTTACTTTTTTTATCTGATGGAAATAGTTTGAGAATCTAACATTGGCACCTAATCTTCCTCAAGAAATAAGCTTTTACTAACATTACATTTTTGAGATGATTGTTCAATGAGCCAGATAGCTAATCAATACACAAAATAGTAATAATGTACATACCTGCCGTGCGTTCTCTGGTAGCTGAGCTTTCTCAACCCATGAGATAGCATGGTCGACACCATTTAAAGCTACTCCCAGAAGTGTCAATGCATAAAATTCAACAACTTTGATAAATTGGTCCCCTTCTAAAGTGAAATGCCCAGCAGATACATCCACATCATTTTTCTGCACATTCGGACTAGCAAAAGCATAATACTTCTCATTGTTCAACTGCCACTTTGAAAGAAAATCCTCCAGGAAGTCACGGACTCTAGAGGGATGTCCACCTGAGACCTGCACACATGCACTGGAAAAAAAAAAAAAAACATGAAAGGCAGACATTAGAATCTTGGTTGTTTTCCACTTTGTCTCAATGAAAAACAGTAGCATTGTAATCATGATATTTGCAAACAAATATCTGTACACTAATTATCCAATTGTTATTCTTCTGCCAGCAGGCTTTGGCAGAAAGGTTATATATTCAGCTCGCCATATGTCAAGAACTCTAGCATTAACAGATCAAAATTTTAAGATCCCAAAACCGACGGTAAAAATTACTTTCAGGGATGCAGAGACTGTATCAGTAATTAAATTAAGAGCTGCAAGTTGGTAAGAATCATAATCAAATAACACGAGCTACTCCGAATATCTAGAAGTCAGTGATGGTTATGGACTAGAACTGGGAAAAGATTTTACAAGCAAATAATAGATAACTTTTGAAGAAATCGCATAGGAAACCAGAGGTCAGGTTGTCAGTCTCAACAGCACAAGTCTGAGCTCCCAACTGGCTGTATAAATACAATTACAAGTCTGAGCTCCCAACTGCATGTTCTTTTTTTTTTTGGGGGTGGGGGGAAGGGGGGAGGGTGACTCAATTGAGGTGTTTTCTAAGAAAGTCTTGGAAGAGTTTTCAAAGCCAAGTCTTCTGGCGAGGTTTGCAACCTTCAAGAATAAGTGGATGCATTCTAGAATATGAACAGCAGAGAGAGTCCAATTTTTTAGATATTATAGAACGGGACAATAAGTGTACAGTCTAAGAAGCAAGAACGATGAAGTTTACTTCATTTGTGCCCTTGTGCTCTTTCTCTGCTTCCTTAAATATTGTTTTCTTTATTACACATATTATAATAGTCATTTCATGAGATACACATGAAAGTATGAAGGCATTCCATAAAGATCCTAGAACAGAGCAACAGGAAATTAGTGAATACCCGGTTAGAACAACTTGAAGAGGAATTTCAGTGACTGATCCAAAATAACCCTCAAGTTCCTTTAACAAATCTGATGACCTGCATGAGCAGAACAAGAGTAACATCATATTTTAGCGCAACAAAATACTAACATGAGTATCCTCCATAATTCTCAAGACAATTCAAGCAAAGCCTTATAATGCACATACCTTCCAGTTTCTCTCCAAGACTGGACTAGGACCATTGCAGATGATTCCATCATCTCATGCCATACAACATCCTCCTCCGTGTATATGTGTCTATTATCATGTAAGCGTGTCAAAATTGAAGAGGCTGATGCTGCCGCCTCCTCAAACATTCCACTAACAAGGTAACTGCACAGCAAAACAAATTCACATACTTCATATTTGATTTGGATTCAAACAAACAACAGACCCCATGGAGAAAAGGGCAAAGAGATGAACATCATTCCTACTGCAAACAAAGTGCAAAACCAAGTGAGGCAACTACAACTAAAGCCAATTGTCAAGTTTTAACTAATTTACGCACACAGGAAGATATTACCACTTTAATCACTCATCAACCAATAACAGCCAGTGTGAACAATCTTCTCAGCCCTTTACTTCAGTACTTGAGAGTTACAAAATACGAAACGCGAACTTAAGGAATTGTGCTCAATCAGTATCACTATACACTCAAATTTTCACCCAAAATACCCATTCCAAAGCAAAAATGGGTCTTAACTAACATCTCAATAGCAAAACCGGAAAAAAAAAAAAAAAAAAAAAAAAAAAAAAAAAGGCTCAGAGCAAGAGCATACAAATCAATCAGGAGTATAACAACTTTTAGATGATTTCCAACAGAGAAAGCAGCAATCTTTATTACAATAGCTTGAATTTTGGGCGTTTCGAAATCAATAAAACCCTAACTTGTGCGTCTTAACATGCTATTAAAATAACTTTAATATAGAAAACCTAAAAAAAAGAAGGAAATTAAGTAGAATGAAACACCTTTCAGCAAGATCAATTTGTTGCCAAGTTACGAAATCCAATGGCATTTTCGCGGGTACTACCTCCTCTTCCATCTTACAAACAAGGAATTCAAGAAATTTGGGAAATTTTATAAACCCAGATCAACCTCATCATCTTCTTGTTAATAAGTCAGTTGACATTTTTTTTATTTGGGTGGATTAGACTGTATAAGTCAAACAAAGATATACGAATTACAGAGTACTCCGTAAGTAGGTAGTTTTTTTTTTTTTTTTTTTTTTTCTTTGGGTCAAATTTGAAATAATAAATTATTAATGGTGTTGTATGTGGTGAGGTGTCCCCGACTCGTGGTCTACGCCAAGGAGACCCACTCTCCCCCTATCTCTTCATCATCATTGTTGATACTTTTTCGGGGCTCTTGAAGAAAGTTGTAACTGATAGACATCTTCATGGAGTTCGGGCTAGTAGGAGTGGTCCGACTATCTCTCATTTATTTTTTGCTGATGACAGTCTCCTCTTTGCTAGGGCCAACCGAGTGGAATGCTCAAAGATAGTGAAAATTCACAATGTACGAAGCAACTTTCGGACAGAAAATAAATTATGATAAATCGGAGGTTTCCTTTAGCAAAGGAGTTAGTGAGTCGAAACAATTGGAATTAGTGTGTAATGCCCCCAAATCCGCTCTACGGAAATACCAGTATAATACATATAATTATACCGTAGAGATAGACTTAGGTGTATTACCGTAGCGTGATTACGCAAGGCTACCAAAACTACTAACCAAAACCAATACTTCGCAGCGGAATATCAAACTCTTTCTTTATTAATAATAGCTATAAATGCTTTCAAGAAAAAAATAACTATAAATAGAAACCATTGACATGAGTACTCATAAATAAACAAGTGAATCGCTAAACATCGCCCGCAAATTACCATATAAAGCCCACAAATATGACTTGGTGTGACCATTATGCCCATTTTCTAAAATTGAAAAAATCTCGGTTTAAAAAATGTGGAGCCGTACTGGCTAGCCGGGGGAGACCGGAGGGCAGGCTGGAGATGTGGGGGACGCCGGAGGTACGTCGTCGTCGACGGAAAACGAGGTAAGTCACCGTTAAAATTGACGGTTTACCGTCGGAGTGGCTCCGGCGCCTAGGATGGACGCCCAAACCGTAGCCTGGACGTCCAAGCCAGACGCCAGAACCACCAGAGTGGCGTCCAGCCCAGACGCCCAGACCACCAGACTGGCGTCCTGGCCAGGCGCCACTGTACTGGCTGCGGCGGCCCTGCCAGGCGCCAGTCCAGTGGCTGTGGCAGCCCTGGCAGACGCCACCCTTATATATATATATATTTTTTTTTTCTTTTTTGATTTTGTTTTTGTTTTTTATTTAATTTTTTTTTTTTAAAAAAAAAATCGAAAATGATTTTTTAAAAAAAATCGAAATGGGTTTTTTTTAAATTAATTTTGAAAATTCGAAATAGGTTTTTTTAAAATTAAGTTTGAAAATTCGAAATGGTATATTTTTAAATTTAGTTTGAAAATTCGAATTGGGTTTTTATAAAAATTAAGTTTGATTATACATAATTATGCTTTTTTTTTGTGTTAATTCTGTGTAAATATAGAAATTAAATGTATTATCCGTTAAATGTATTTATTGTAATATATAATTGATGCAGGATTATGGTGGAGACGGAAATGATTACAGTGGGATATTTGGACATGATGGTCCATTCGAAGAAGCTCAACAGGCGATTGATTGGGCAAAACAGGTTGCAATTGCAGCTGGATTTTGCTTGGTAGTAGTAACTCATAAATCTCAACGGGATGGTAGAATGGATCGCATTTTGAGATGTGACCGTTATCGCAAAAGAGAAGAAAGAGATTTTCGTACAGCCACTCGGTTTGATACAAAGCGGAAAGGTTGTGGGTGTGAGTTCAGAGTAAAGGTTCGACGACTACGGAGTCGTGACGGTTGGGAAGTGATTGGTTACTCTAAATGGGGGTATCACAACCATGAGATGATAGTATATGAAGAGGGTCATCGACAGCTGAGCGGCTTAAGTCCTGCTGCGAAACTAGTTGTGAAAGAAATGAGTGATGCTCAAGTCAAGCCTGCTAAAATATTAGCATCTGTGTTAGAGAAATTTTCAGAAGACCATCCAAACCGAAGACACATCTACAACGTCAGACAGCAACTCAGGTTTGAACGGTCAGAGGGAAGGAACCCTATACAGCAGCTGCTACACCAGGCACAATCACGTGGTTACCTGTTCTGGTTTGATTCTGATGAAGATACAACGGAGGTGACTCATCTTTTCCTTGTGCATCCTGATTGTGCTGATATGATCAAGTCTTGGCCATTTGTGATTTTGATCGACTCAACGTACAAGACAAACAAGTACAAGTTCCCACTGGTTGAGATCATGGGGATGACTCCAACGAACTAGAACTTTCTGATTGGTCATGCAATCATCAAGGATGAGACGGCTCCAAGTTATTATTGGGTGTTGGAGAAGCTGAGAAACTACATCGGGCCTAATGTTCATCCAGCAGCCATCGTCAGCGACTGTGAGGGAGGTCTCTTTGCCCCCATAGCAGAGCTGTTTCCAGAATCGAACCACTTATTGTGCACATGGCACATCAACAACTGCGTGAAAGTGAAAGCCTACAACCTTTTCAACAAGAATTTGGAAATGGCAGAGAGATTGGTGATTGGTAAGTGGCGGAAGATCCTACAGGCTACCACAGAGGAAGCGTATGAGCGAGCATTGGCTAACTTCAGGGATTCGTACCAGTGGTGTCCGGCACTGGTGGACTATGTGATGCAGCAATGGGTCCCTCACAGGGAAAAGTTTGTCAAATATTGGATAAACCAGGTACTTCATTTCGGGAACACTACAACATGTAGAGTTGAGAGCGCTCATAGAGCTACCAAGGACTGGATTGATTCATCGACCGCTGCTTTGGATACACTGTTCGATAGACTTAACAAGTCAATTGAAACTCAGAAGAACGACATCAGGAACTCTCTAGAGGACTCCAGACGACGACATGGTACGATGTATAGCCATTTTATATTTAAGATTCTCAATGGTCGTGTGTCGCACTACTGCTTGGGGTTGATTCTCACTGAGCTGAACAGGATGAGGGACTTGGCTGACGAAGTGTATGCTCGGTGTGGGTGTGCTATTTCAGTAACTCATGGATTACCTTGCGCATGCACCATTCACCGCGTTATAACAGAAGAAAGGGCGTCGTTACATGTTGATCAGGTCCATTCATTCTGGAGGACGCTTGTTATTGGTGAGCATGCAGACACTCATACGGCCGACCGTGAACAGGAGGAGTTGGAGCAGTTTCGTTCGATGTACGACCGAGTGTCCTCCAGCCATCCTTCTATTATTCGTGACGCTACTCATGTACTTCATGACATGTTCCACACGTCTACCTTAGATTATGAGGAACCCGAAGGAGTTGACCGTCCTCGAGGTCGACAACGGCGGAACAGGAGTGCGTTTGAGTATATCCGTGGTCTTGGTCGTGCTCGTGCTCGTGGTCGGATATCGTCATCTAGTCGTAGTCAATCTTCATCGTCTGTGAATATGCCCCTGAGAACTGGTACGTTTTGGTTGTTTACATTGCACATAGTTTTAAAGTGTTACTCCTGCCTTCTTAACTGTCTATAATTATATGGTGAATAGGAAGAAACGATGTTGATCAGTTTCCGTACAAGGAAAGGATACCTGCGATCATCATGCCGTACTTGGAAGGGTGGAATGATGTAGTCGGAGATGGTAACTGCGGATTCCGGGTCGTGGCTGATGTTTTTCAAATGGGCGAAGACAACTACGGTTTGGTGCGTCAGTTAATGTACAGCGAAATTGCCTCTAACCGAAATGTTTATCGTCATGTGTACCAGGATGACTTGGATGGCGCTCTGCGGCGTATCCGGTGGGGAGGTGGACCTTGCGGCCAAAATCATTATTTTGACGCGCCCCTAGATCTGTTTGCCGTTGCAAACATTTACAAATGCGCAGTCATGCATTTCGGCCTGGGAGTGCATAGTCAAGCTTATTATCCTTGTACCACGGCTCTCCCTTGGCGGTCGCGTGAGACTGTCACCACACCGGTCAGAGAGCTAGCTATTGCGTTTCTTGGGTCGTCATACAGACATTTCATCCGACTAGACATGTCATCCGATTTTCCAGTGCCACCGATTATACCTCGGTGGTACAACATTCGCACAGCGAGCGTAGAGGGTTGGGATGCGCTATATCATGACTGGATCCACGAATGGAACACCCTAGCTGCATTTTAGTTTTTCATGTTTACATTCTTCCTATGTAATCTTATTTGTACGTTGCTCTTTTAATGAGAACAATAATCTTTTATATTGTATTGCTTACTGCATTCTATATGTTGCATGGGTAAGTTGCGCGGATCCACGAACGGTTATATCAAAATTTAAAAACAGCAATGATAATATGTTTAAGTTGGAAGCTAAAAGAACAATCTAAAATGTTACAAACTTACAACATAATGTCCAATTTAATAAATTAAAACGATAATATTTAAAGTGCTCTATAAATAAAATGACAAAACCATCAGTAATCCCTCCTCGACGACGACTCCCACTGCGCAAGGGTCTGTTCCAGACTATCAACAACAGCTCTCCCTGTTGCACTCATGCTGTCCTTCTCAAGAGAGAGTTTCTGTACGTCCTGCATTATCTTTCCCATCCACTGCAAACAACAAAAAACAAAAGATGAAATACAATAACAACATATAAAACTTAATTAAAAGACAACGATAAATATAATATGAGACATACCGCTTCCATGGCAGTAGGCGGTGGCACATAATCATCATCGCTGTGGTCGAGATATGCGATCAACCTCGGGTGCGAATACCGGTTGAACCATTCCATGTAGTAATGGTCACACATGGGAGGAACCCTAGAGGGCGGCCGCTGCAACTCCGCAGTCCATAAGCGGGCCACCATCGGAAACTGGTCCCACGTCCCGGTCATGATATCCGGCCATTGCACGACGTAGTCCCTCGACGATGCAGGTCGGATCGCCTTCATCGGGCATGCCGGGGGAGGAGGGACAACTTGGACAAATCCAAGCTGACGAAGACAACGCTGGGGCATGTACGCCTCGACGATCTCACGATACTGAATGAGTCCCGTGTACAGGGTCCTGGGTACCCTAACACTAGGGTTCGGGCCGAAAGGCATCCAGTTCACCTGCACATAGTTTTAAAATTTAATAACATGAATATAATATGTGCAAATAATAAAATGTAGAAACAATTTATAAACGTTACCTCTAAGGGGGACAGCCTGTCCAGCAATAACCGTATCGATCGGAGGCGGTCAACGGACTTCTTCTCAGAGCGCGGACTCCACGCACAAGCACGCGACATCCCCTCATCAATAGGAACCGGGTCACGATGTGGTCGCAATGCAGGAAAGTACTCGTATATCCAGGTCTGCAATAGAGTCAGACACCCAGTGATACCTGCCGCGTCAGCCCGACTCGCAAATCCTAGTTGGCGATACAAATACGCCAACGTAGCCGATCCCCAGGAAAACTGGCCTACAATGTCGGGGTCACACGCCTCTACTATGTCGCGTGGCCTGAGCTTGTTTCCGCCGCTCTTATCCGGAAACAAGGTACATCCGAGGAGTAGAAAAACATAAGCACTCAGCTGTGCGTCGTGCGTCCTACGTGCACTGGGGTACAAACACCGCTGCAACACGGATGCGATCTTCACACCCCCGTGTTCCCAAACACCTAGCGCCTCGGTGTACAGTGCAGCCCTGTCCACCGCCAACAACTCCGCCAGCAAATCTGCCTGATCCGCATCAGCCACAGCACAAAGTCGTTTACCCTCAACACGAATCCCCAGAATGGTCTCGACGTCATGTAACATGATCGTCATCTCACCGAACGGAAGGTGGAAAGAGTTTGTATCCGGCTGCCATCGCTCAATGAAAGCCGTGATCAGCGTACTGTCAATCTTATCGTGCATGGTGGCAGGAACATGATTCACCCCAGTGCCCTCCAGTCGCTCGAACATCTCGCTCTCCGCCGGCCAAGCCTCAGCCCATGTACGCAAAAAGCTACAAGTCTTTTCCCGGGTATGACATTTTAACAACCCCGTAACTGAAGGCCTCTCCTGGTCCTCCTAAATACGGGCAGCTATGTGTCCTAGAAAGCTAGGAATCACACTCCCGTCAACAGGCCCACCGGGCACCTCACTCCTAACAACCCAAGAATCATTACCGGCCCTCGACCGTTTCCTGCTTGCCCCAGATACAGTGGACGCAGATGATGTGCCAGATCTACTAACAAACCTACCACCCCTACCCTTACGCACCTCCACCATATGTGTCTCGTACATGTCATCAACCCTCTGACTGAATGGACCGTAATCATCATACGGTCCACTGCCATCGTCCACATCCTCATCCTCATCTGCGCCCTCCTCCTGCTCCTCCTCCTGGTCACCCTCCTCAGCATCATCATCGTCATCGTCATCCTCATCCCGACGGTGGATCCGTTCTCTACGAGCTGAGGCCGAAATACCACGGGATCTGACATGTCTATGCCCCGACCTCTCCACTGAATAGCTTCTACTAAGAAGCTCTACATTCTTCCCCGCACCATGACGACCCAGTGAATTCTACACAAAATTTTAAATTATATAAACATACAAAAATTTATACGAAAAATAGCTACCACTACCCAAATCAAATAAACTAAAAACATACTAACAAATTAACATAATAAAGAAATTAACAAAACACTTAAATAAAAATAATAGAATAAAAAATACACTTAGAAAGGAAATAAAACCAACACAGAAGAATACATATAAACATAAATAATTCATTCCCAATTAAAATAAATTAACTAACCAAAAACAATATCAATAATAAAATTTAAAATAAATTAACTAACCAAAAACAATATCAAAGTCACAAAAAAATATAAAAACAAATTAAAATAGAGAATAAAAATAAAAATGTACAAAAAAAACAAACAAATAATTGTAAACAAAATATAAACATAGAAAAAATACAACAAAATTTATAAAAATAAACAACAAAATATAAAAACAATTCAAAAAGATATTACACAAAAAAAAAAAAAAAAACAAAAACAATATTTTAAAACAAATATATATAAAAAAAAAAAGGGGGGGGGGGGGGCGCCTTGGCTGGACGCCCAGCCAGCGGTGGTGGCGCCAGCTGCAGACGCCGCCACCAGTGGGCTGGCGCCTGGGCTGGACGCCATAGCCACGGCTGGGGCGCCTTGATTAAACGCCACAACCGTGGCTCTGGCGTCCAGCCCAAACGCCAGCCTACTGGTGGCGGCGTCTGCAGCTGGCGCCACCACCGTTGGCTGGGCGTCCAGCCAGGGCGCCCCACCTCCGTCACGGCGGTTTTTCCTTTTTTTTTTTTTTTTTTTTTTTTTTTTTTACAAATTGTACCTTGCCTCCTTGGGACCTCCTTCCCTCCGCCGCCGCCAATTCCTTGCCTTGCCGCCTCGACATTGCCGTTGTTTGAAATTTTTTTTTTTTTAGAGAGGTTGAAAGAAGATGAGCGATGAGAGTGTGAGTGATGAGAGTGTGAGTGTTTTTTTTTTTAAGGTCAAGGGCAATATTGTCAAACCAAGTAAATTTTGTGGGCTTTATGTAGTAATTTGTGGGCGATGTTTAACAAATCCCATAAACAAAGACCAACATTCCTAATCTAGGTGAAGAACATCCCAGGACTCTCATATGCTCAAATATTGACTCCACCTGAAAATAGTCAACATTGTTTACCATTAAGGTAAACAGGGCAAACCAAAACAAATAGGAAATACGGATTAGCAAAATATGCTAAGTACTATAAGTGCAAGATAAGTAAATTCAATTTATTTGCAAACATGCTTTTAAAAACCAATTCCAATGTTAATCCAATAATTCCGCCAAAACTCATAGTTTCAAAACCAATTCTCAAGATTCTCAAAACAATTCCAATAACTCAATAATTCAATAAAACGATTTATAAAACCAATTCCTCTTTTGAAAACCAATTCCTCACCCAAGTGTGCATACACCCCAAGCTAGTCTCCTACTATTTCAAGGCTATTCTTGAGGAAACACTCAGTCATACGAAGTCCAAAATATTATCTACCAAATCCGAATAGTGGGATTACTATCAACATGCTTGTAAAGCTTTAATAATAAAAATTCAAAAATCCTTTCCCAATTTCAAAATTCCAACATAATTCAAAACTCCTTTTATTTGCTTTCAAAATCAAACCCCTTTTTTTTCTTTTCAAAAACTCTTTTAAAACAATCCAACATACTTTTAAAAACCAAACTCCTTTAAACATAATAATTTCAAACCATCAAAACATGATATAAAATCAATCCTCCAATTTATTTATCAAAACCAATTTTATTTTTTATTTTTAAAAAACATGCTTTATTTCATAAATCATAATTCAATTCAATTTAATTCAATCATCATAAAAATCATGTAAAACATGCTTATTCAATCCCATCAATTTTAAAGGTATCTAGCCACCTAAACGTACATTTGATCCTTGCTAGAAACACAAAAAGAAACTTCAAGAACTTTGATTGAATACACCCTACAAATAAATATAACCTTAGTTAATATAAGATTAACAAATAATCACAACAATTAAATTAAAAACCCCCAACTATATGTACATGAACCTTATAATTTATTTTTCATAAACATGAATAAAAAAATCTGATTCATTTAATTAAAACTACCCATAATAATTTTTATAAATCCCCCATAATAAAAATTAACTAATTAAGAGAAGAGAAGAAGAAGTGGTAGAGGTAGAAAACCAAGGAAAAAGAGGAAGAAAGGTGGCGCAAGGGAGCGACAGCTGCGGCTGCCGACGGCTGGTGGCAGCCGAAGGTGGTGGTTGTGGCAGGTGGCAGCCGGAGGTGGTGGTTGTGGTGTTTGGTGGTGGTGATTGGCGCAAGAACAAGAGAGAAAGAGAAGAGAAATTAAGAGAGAAGTAGAGAATTTGGTGTGAGTGTTTAACCATGAATCAATGGGTATTTATAGGCTAACTCATGCATGAATTATGGTAGGAGAATGTAGGAAGAATTACGGTAAAAAGAATCAAGGAATTACTTGGGAAATAGAATTAAAAATTTATGGAAAGTTTTAATATTAAAGTGACTAAGAATAATAAAATTAAGGAAAGTATGTTGTCATGAAAAATAATATGGCAAAAGGAGTTTGCTTGGGGAATAATCAAGGATGAAATAAGGTAGGGAAATAAGATGATCAAATATTTAGAAGGCGAGAAATAAAAATTAAGGAAAATAATATATAGATTTAAAGGAGATAATTAAAAATACAAATTACCAAAATAATTCACCCAAAATCCAACCTTGGTGGCCGAAATTTTTGAGCTTCTATGCTCCAAATTTTCGGACCATATTAGTAGCATTTAGGAAATTATTTTGCTAGATTTAAGGGATTAAAAAAAATTGTGTAAATAATATATTTTGTATAAAATAATTAATTAAGAGAATACCAATTATTCACTAAATAATTTAGCTAAGAAAAATCAGATTTTCCACACTAGGAAAATCCAAAAATCATATATAGCCAATCAATAGGAATTTTCAGACCTCTCAATTAAATAATAAAATATATTTTTTCTTAATTAAAATATCCGAAATATATGTAAATAATTCGATTTTTAAAAATAAAATAAATCCAAAAATAATAATTAGGTTTTAAAATACTTTTGGAGCCAAAATTCAAATATTATTTTGGCTCCCAAATTCAATTACTAAAATGAATTACTAAAATACCCTTTTTAGAAAATAATAATAATAAATTAATTAATTAGAAAATACATTTAAAAAATACGGGGTATTACATAGTCGACCTTTTGAAGATGAAGAAAGTGGACATCCATGAGAAATACCTGGGCATTCCTACGATTGTGGGGAGATCGAAGAAATCAGTTTTTACCACTTTAAAGGACAGTATCTGGAAAAAGTTGCAGGGTTGGAAAGAGAAGTTATTGTCTCGAGCTGGCAAGGAAGTTCTTTTAAAGGCGGTAATCCAGGCTATTCCTACATATCTTATGGGGGTTTACAGGATTCCTATTGGTGTGTCGGATGAGATTAAGTCCATGACAGCTCGCTTTTGGTGGGGTGACTCTAGGAATGGGGGTCGTGTTCATTGGAAAAGCTGGGATTTGTTGTGTGCTCCGAAATGTCTTGGTTGCTTAGGTTTCAAGGACTTGGCAGTTTTCAATACGGCACTCTTGGGAAAGCAGGCATGGAGGCTTTTACATGCTCTTAATTCACTGTTTGCTCGCGTGTTCAAGAGTAAATACAACCCAAATTCAGATTTTCTTGACTCCTATTTAGGCAGAGGCGGTAGCTACTCTTGGAATAGCATATGGGGCTCAAAAAGTTTGCTAAAAGAGGGTTTGATTTGGAGGGTGGGAAACAGGACTCGCATAAGGGTGTGGGATGACCCTTGGGTAGGTGATGACAGGGGACGTTTCCTTGGAATTTTGATCTCTTAGCAGCAACTTTTAATGAACAGGACATGTAGTGTATTTTGTCCATTCCTTTGAGTCTGCAAGACCCTGAGGACTGCACTACATGGGCCTTCTCAAATAATGGGATTTATTCTGTAAAGTCTGCCTATCTTCTAGGCAAATCTTGCAACCTGATGACTTCCATCAAGCTTGGGTCGACCTGTGGAAACTCGAAACTACTCCTAAGGTGCGTCATTTCCTTTGGAGAGTTTGCACAAACTCTCTTCCTACTCGTGCACTTTTGAAATTCAGGCATATAATTGATGATGATGGTTGCCCCTGGTGTTCTGCTGGTGAAACACAACACCATGCGTTATTCTTTTGTGGTGCAATTTCTTTTTTATGGGTGGAGATTGAGTGTGATGATTTAATTGCGAATGCGACCTCCCTAAGCTTCCCTGACTTGTTGGCTTCGTGGGCTAAGGTAGATGCCATCAAGCGCCAAAAATGTGTTGTACTCATAATGCAAATCTGGAATAGACGAAATCTATGGCTCAACTGCTGTTTCTGCTACAAAGCGCAGCCCGAAGACTTGGCATCCCCCTTCAGGCGAGACAATCAAGATAAATTGTGATGCAAGCCTTAGCGTTGAAGGTTGGGTTGGCTTAGGTGCGGTATCCCGAAACTCAAGAGGGGAGGTTATTTTTGCTGGTGTGCGAAGAATACGCGGGTGCTGGCCACCTGATGTGGCTGAAGGTATGACACTTCAGTATGCTGCTCGACTGGGGAAGAGATACGGTTGCAAGACTGTGCTCTTCGAGTCAGATTGCCAAGCCTTGATCACTAAGCTCAGCAATGCTTTTATTTTCTTCACCGACTTCGATAATATTCTTGAAGATGTTCTGTTTCTATGTTCTAGCTTTGATTTTGTAGGTTGGTTACATGTTAAGCGTGAGGGTAATTTTGTTGCCCATCACTTAGCTAAGTTAATCCCGTTTGGTGTAAAGCAAGTATGGAAAAATTATTGTCCGGGTGACATTTCCCCCTATGTACTTATGGACACTTTGTCCTTGAATTAATATAAGCTCTCCACTTTCTTTCAAAAAAAAAAAAAAAAAAACTCAACCTTATTAGTTACTAGCATAGACGGTTTATAAATCAAACTATTAACTCCGTAACAAAAAAAATGATAATTTAATTAGTACTTGTAATAAGTTGTGAAAAAAGATATACTTGTACAAATATTTTTGAAATTAAATAAACAGTAATAACACATTCATAAATATATACACTATTTAAAATATTTATCATATTGGAAATATAATCAATTATTTGGAATCAGTCAATAAAATATATTTTTAAATCAATGTAATTTATATAATATGTTGATTACACATGGAATAATATAGATATAAATAATAATTTATACAATAAAAGATATAGAAAATATCGAGAGTGAGGGATAACTCAAGTGGATAGAACTTCCCTTCCGATTCTAGAAAATCTTGGGATCGATTCTCACCCCGCCCTTGTGCCTCTCTCTCTCTCTCTCTCTCTCTCTCTCTCTCTCTCTCTATATATATATATATATATATATATATATATATATATATATATATATATATATATAAAGAATGATTTAAAATAAGTAAAAAAAAAAAAAAAAAAAAAACAATTTTAGAGGGTAAAAATGACACCAGGACGTGATACGTGTCATTTCTGGTATCTGTTTTAGTATTATGTTACTTATAACTCAAAACTAAAGCCAACGAAACAAGTGTCATTATGACCCTTTTGATCGAAAATTAATCCCAATCCAACCACCATTCGAAAATTACTCTCACTCAAACTACTTAGGTTTATGATTAGCTATCTTTTTTTCAGTGGCATTCAATTTTCTCTATTCATCTATTCAATGGTACTCGTAGTTATTTAATCAACTATATATCTTATATTTGAGGAAGCCCCAAATTAATCACGTTAATAAACAAAATTCGTTTATCAAGTGGCAAAATCATAAATAAAGCAATAAAAATGTCCAATTAGCATGATATTTTCGTAATTACATCAACAATTGTGGGACTACATTTAATTTAATAAAAAATTGTTTTTATTTACATTTTGTCTTTTGATAAACAAAATATGTTTTATTATCAAGGTGATAAACTTGTATTTTCTCCTTATATTAGCGATTTAGAACTGGTATTTAGGGTAAAAATACCCTAAGACACGTGGCCCAATAAAGGCTTGCCACGTGTCAAGATTGCAACGGTCAGCAAAGGCCCAATCCCTTTGCGACACGTGTCATTGTACCCTAATTGAGGTACAACTCTCCCCTACTATAAATAGTAAGGGCATACCTCATTAATGGGGATCGAAATCATTTTTCACAAACCAACAAAACACAAATCCCCTTGCAAACGCTCTCAACTCGAGAAGCATTTATTGTCTTATTTCCCCATTTAGAAAGAGACTAACTTAATCTTCGGAGGTGGAACACCCCAGCCCCAGCCGGAGTATTCTGTTATTTGTGCAGGTACAGGCGAAGGAAGGAGCGTACTAGGAAATTGTAACTCTCCCGTAGGACACATTAAAAACCCCCAAACATCTGGCGCCGTCTGTGGGGAGAGTACTTTCTAGATGACTTCAGAACCGGTACTGCCGGGTAAAAGTAGTCAACCTGCTTGTGAGGCTGAGGTCCACTCGGACCAAGATACAACCGACAATCATGAGATTGAGACTTACACAGCTGCTGATGGTTCTTTCAGAACCAAGCATACTCGTTCCAAAGACAGAAGGGAACGGGCAGAGCAGCAGGCAGACCCAAACCATCCTACCAGGGGACCGCTTGGGTTGACTCCTGCATCAGAGGGAGCCACCCCAGTCTCCAGAGATGAACTCATGAACCTGATGATGAGCTTCAAAGGAGAGATAAAAGGCCTTTTGGATAATACAGCCGGCCCCCGTAAGGGTCAGGCGGAAGAAAAGTGTCTTGGAAAAAAGACGGCCAAAACAGTAAAGGGTAGAGCATCTACCCCGCATCCGAAGTCAAATATGCCGGTTAGGCCCTTTGATTTATCAAAGATACACACTCCCATAGATGGAGTCAGAAAACCCGTCCGGCACATACAACCGGATGGAACCAAGAAAGTCTATTCTGATGCTCGGACGCTCATTCAGGATAAAAAGACTCAGCAGCGCTCCGAGTCGGCGTCAACGTCGACCTTTCGAGACAGCTTCAACGCCACATCAGGGAGGCACTCGAGAACAAACAATGACAGCCGGACGAGCGAGGTTTCCGCTTTATCCGGCCCTCATATGATCCAACCGGCATTACATGGAACACCATACACGCCTTTTGGATCACCCTATGCACAGCCGGGTCTTTTCGGGGGACAGCAGCAGCCGCTTCTCAAGCCTATGGATTGGCAGCTCCGGCTGCTCAACCTTGGGGAACAGCCAACGGCGTTTTCCAGGGAAATCACCGAGATGACCCAGCCGGCTAAGATTAAAAACATGTTGGTAGGTGCCTATGACGGTACCACCAACTCGGAAGATCACCTCATGGCATACACCAACCTGATGTATTTGCAGGGTTTGGATGACGCCTCATGGTGCAGGTGCTTCCCGGAAACGTTGAAAGGGATTGCTCAACGTTGGTTTGGTAACCTCCTAGCCGGATGCATCAATAATTTCAGGACGTTGGCCTACTGGTTTACGTCCAACTTTTCTATGAACATCCCTGCCAAGAAAACAAGCCTTGATCTAGGGGCAATCCAACAGGGAGATAAAGAGGGGCTCCGGTCATATGTCAGGCGGTTTAACCTGATGAGGATCCAAATCCATGGATTGTCTGATGACGTTGCCTACACTGATTTCTTTAAAGGCTTAAAAGACGGATCAACTTTTAAGTTTGACTTGGTTAGGAAGAGGGTCTCTACTCTTCACGAGGCGCTTATGAAGGCGAAGGCTTACATTCAGGCAATGGAATTGTGTGCTGTGAAACTTCCAACGGATTACAAAAGATCCAATAAAAAAGAGAATCGGCCTACCCAGTCGGCCAAAAAGGAAGACAAGAGAAGGGGGGTATGGGCAGCAGACTCATCCGGGCAACCTTCCCAGAAAAGAAAGAGGTCGGATCCGTATGTGCCAAAGTACGAATTCAATAAAGATTGTGCCTCCATTCTCAACGAAGTAAAGGACCGGCTGAATCTTGAAAAACCGGCTCCCATGAAGAGTCCTGTAAGCACCCGGGATAAGAGCAAATATTGCCTTTTTCATGAAGAAATTGGCCATGACACTGAGGGTTGCTTTAGCCTCAGGCGGCTCTTTGACCGGCTGGCTGATGAGGGGGCTCTCAAATCATACCTATCCAAGTCAAAAGGTGCTCCCAAACAAGAAAAAGGACCACCCCCAAAGAAGTCGGCTACTCAATCGGATACGGATGAAGAAACCATCCTGACCATAGCCGGTGGATTTGCGGGAGGCGGGCCTACCATCCGGGGCACGAAGGATAACATTCGGAAACTGGTCAACTCAGTGGATGAGGGCCAGTCGTCTGAATATTCATTTCTGGAAGTTAACATCTCCGAGAAAGATAGAGGAGAGGTCAGGCGGCCTCATGATGACCCCATAGTCATCGAGTGCAAAATCGCCAATCAAAGAGTTGGGCGGATCTTGATTGATACCGGGAGCTCATCTGACCTCATAAGCTACCGGTGCTTGGAAAAACTCAAGTATAAGCCCAGTAGCATGTATCCGGCCTCATACCTTCTTGTAGGTTTTGGAGGAGGAGTAGTACATCCGGTGGGCATGATTGATCTACCCATCCGGTTCGGAGAAAAGGGAAAGGGCCGACACATGGTTGTCAAGTTTCTTGTTGTAGGAGAGCTGACTGCCTATAACTTGATTATTGGCCGCTTAACCCTTAACATCTCAAAGGCTGTCATCATCCCATCTCTAATGTTGATGAAGTTTGAAAGGGATGATGGCACAGTCGGTTCCTTGAATGGGGACCAGAAGATGGCGAGAGAGTGTTACCTCTC